AACTGTAAGTTCCACATGTTAGGAAAGGAACAGTACTACAGTGAGGCTTTTAAATAAGGGAACTTTACGAAGTTGCAGGATCTTTTGTTTTTATATTCTTCCATGCAAGTTATAAGCTAGAAATGAAGGTATAACATTTTAAAAGTGAACTTTCTTCCCAACGACTGCCAAGACTGCACTTATACATGAACTACAGGGACTGTGGACATGCTCAGTGGGGAAGTGCGTGCTGTCTGCCTGAGGCTGATGTGGATGCTCAGCACATTTGTAGCGAGCTGGCACAGCAGTTCATGCCAGCAGCCAGCCCAGCTGGGTCAGTGAGGTCAGTGAGGTCAGTGAGAGACCCTGCCTCAGCATCACCTGACTGATGTTGACCCCGGCCTTGCTGCAAGGATACTTGGGCACATACACTCTCATACATGTAAAGACACACATATATCTACATACAGAAGAGGTAGAACCTTAGAAGATTATTCTTTGCACTTGACGTCTAGGAAAAGCGCTGACAAGATGTGCCTTTTGAGTTTAGCTAACCCCACATCTGATTCTTTGATGCCGTGCTTTCTCTACTCCACTGTATTGTACAGTGCCCTGTGCAGCCCTTCTGCACAGCACTCTCTTCACTAAGTCTTTGGTAAGTTCCTCCTCTCTTCCAGGGTTTCTGCATGATAACATAGTCATGGTGAAGACATTTTCTTGCAGTGCCATTACACGTCCCTGCCCTTACAGGTCAGAGTTTGAGGCTTAGCCACTTGGCTGTCCTCTTCCAAACCTGTCAACTGATATATCCCACTTCATGTACGAGTCTTTATATGCTATGTATGTCTTTGGGCCATATTGTGGAAAGACATACTTCTTTCCTCTAATAATACTAGACTTGACTTTATTTAATTTCATGATTCATCTTAACAAGTCTAATTTTGTTGTAAAATTGATCATTTGCATTGACAATTTTATATGCCTTACTTTAATACTACAAACTATGTAAAGTTGGCATTTTCTAAAGCCCAAACTTAGAAAACATGAATAAAGTTCATGTTTAGAAATAACATGAAATCCTGGCTGGAACTGAGCACACTGCGGTCAGTCATATTGCAGCTCAGTAGCCCAGCAGGAACAGCTAGAAAGCCATAGTCTTCAGTTCATGGAATGAACACAGGTTCAATGCTTCTGCTTATAGAAAGAAAATATACTGCTGGTCCCTGATTGCTCTTTTCTTATACCTCTTCCAATTTATTTTATTTATTGTTATTATTGCTGAGTCTTTTTATGTTTATTCTGGGAAAACAAGAATAAAAACAAAATGTAGAAAAAAATATTACTGGAAAAAGTTAAAGCTAATTTTAGTATAATGGTATCTGTATACATATGCATGTTTTATATTTTCATATGCATGGACATTTTGTCATATATTTATGGTTTCTGCTAAAATCATTCTGCATAAATAATTTTACCTTTATATTCCTTTTATGTTCTGTTATGTACCTAAGTGGTTCATCAGCTCATGGATTGCGGCTTCCCAAACTGTCTGGTTTAGCTGCTCCAGTTTTCATTTCCTGTTGTTCTGATAAAAATATCCTGACAAATGCATCTTAGGAGAGAAAGGCTTCCTTTTAGCTCACAGTCCCAGGTTATAGTCCTTCATAGTAAAGAAATCAAGGGGCGAGGACCCCACAACTAGTCAAGAGTCAAGAACAGAGAGAATGAACGTGTTGTACTCAGCTCATGATGTTCTTTTTACATAGTCCAGGACCCATAGAGACAAAGCCACTGCTTTTAGTTAGTGTCCTTCCACAGAAATTACTGTAATCAAGAAAAAAAAAATCCCTCACACACAGGCCCCAGAGCAACCTAACCTGTAAAACTCTAAATGATACTGTCTTCCAGGGTTTGAATTTGCTTGTTTCCTCTCTAGTAGGGCTATTCAATAAATGTGCCAGCAAAACAAAGCTACAAATACCTGCTTCCCATCTCCCATCAAGAGGATATTCGTGTTCATAAATATTTACATACACACTTACACACTTACAAAAGTGTTTGCTTCATTGTTGATAAACTAGATTTGTTCATTTGTATTTATTCTCTTTAGGTTATTTTTTACATTGTTATTACAAAATTTATTATTTACTAATTTATTAATATAAATGCAGCTGAATCTGTACTTGTTGTTGAGCTTTACCTTAGTTTAAATCCTAGAAGTAGAATTTATAGGCTAAATATTATGCTTTAAAATATTTAATCATGTTGCCAGATTTTTCTTCAGAAATATCACTAAGCCAGGTGCAGCATATGTACCTGTAATCCCAGCGCTCAGAAGGCAGAGGCAGGAGGAGTGCTCACAGGTTCAAGGCCAGCTTGCTCTAAATATTAAGTGCCAGTCAAGCCAGTGCTATATAGCCAAGACAGTGCCTCAAAAGCAAGAAACATAAAAACACCACATAAATAAGCTAAAAAACAAATACAAGTGACACTGACTCATGCACAGTGGTGTTGAAATTTATATTTCAGACCCTTAACAACTTATCCTCTGATGTAATTTCTAGTTTGACAAGTCCATTTTCCTAACCACAGTGACAGTTCCTAAGGCTACCATGTATGACCATTTCCTTACAAGGAACTCTTAAGAGTTCACAAACAAAGCATCTGTTTGGTTGCTTTAGTTTTAGATGACGTGTACTGAGGGAGGGTCAGGAATCCTACCCTCAGCCGCCACCTCCAGATCTGTCAGGGGATGCAACTCATACACTCAGCCCTATGGTCAGCACAGGGATGGAAGGAAGCATGCCCATTTCATAAAAATGTCGATTTTACTCCCGCCATAGATGTCCAAAGTTATGTCAAAATGAGGGTGGCTATCTGTATAACCGTAGTAACATCACAATATTTATCTGCTCATCTACAAATTGCTTTAATAGTTTCAGTGAATCATTTTTCTTGATTTTGATTATGACCTTTGTACCTAACTGTGAAAACTAAGATGAGAAATCCTAAGATGCAGTAGGAAATGCTGTGTCTGTCTGACTTGCCCTTTATGCATTAGATTAGGTGGTTCTTTAGGAAGGTGTGCACACCCGCCACACGTTCCTACGAACTCAAATGCTGTCACTATGGCCGTGGGATTTCAAAGCCTTCCTCTCAACGAAACTTTCACCTTGCTGAGGTTACTCTTTTTCTCATGGGAGAATGCTCCAAAACTCATATGTTAAATCTTTGTGTTTATTTACCCCAAATGCATTAGCTATCTGGAAAGAGAGATGTTTCACCAAGACATTCTACCTTCAGAATGCTTCTTAGAACTTTATTGAGTGATGACAGTGGTGGGGCAACCATGAGAAGAAAAGCAGAATTTCTATAGTTATTGCTCTGAGACTAACACTGGACCCAGAGCCTTCCTTGTGTTTTCCCACTCTTTAAATAAGGAAACTTAAGTTTTAGAAAATCAAAATGGTTCTACCAAGGTTATATGATTAGTCACAGAATCCGAAGATCAAACCCTGATATCCTGATTCAGTGCCGTGTACTTTTCAACAGTGTGGTGAGGGTGTAATCAAACCGGTCAGGCTTTTAGTCCCCAGGATTGGTCAGCTCACTGATCTAAATGTCCTTTCTACTGTTGATGACAACACATTTTGAAGGCTTTAACCTCCTCATATTCCCTAATATTGTAATTTCCATTTATCAATCAGCCTTTCCCTTAAAAATTATCTAAAATAAATATTCTTGTTTTGTAAGTGGTAACCCTAGGGCTCGAGTGGGACAGATTATTCTTCACGATGTGTCCAGAGGTCGCTGCACGTGCCATTTAGCTTGCCTCCCACCAGCTTGACCCTTTCTTTCTTTTATTTATTAATGAATTACGAAACCAAACATATTTAAAAATTGCTAGTGTGTGGTATCATGAAGCTGCAAACACTGATTTTTCTCTCTGCCTCATTTCTTATTAACATCAATATGAAGGATAAAATTGTTGAATGTAGTTTTAAATTTTCACAGTGGCCTTTTTCCTTTTAAATACTTGGAGAAAATATGCACATGTTTCTGTTTCTTGACTTTTTACTCCTTTATTCTTTTACTCATGTGCTAAACAGTCCCATTTCTGGGGCCTAAGTAAAGCATAAAGTATGGCACTCTAATACCAAGTCATAATGACGATGTCTAAGTAAATTTCCCAATCCCTGCAAAACTGTCAGCTTCTGTAACATGCCGAGGTTTGTAGAGGCAACTGGAAAGCCCGTTTGCAGAGGCTTCATCCCTGCTCCCCAGGAGCTAGAAAAATCAGTCTGTCTTCAGTTTACTCCCTTTTCATTACCGTCTTCCAGCGAGCCCTCAGTCCAGTCCCATGTTTCAGGGTTTCATTAATTGCTGTCTAAAAATAGGAAGGAACTCTTTATTTTTGAAAGTTGAATCAAGCCAATAGTAACAAAATTAAGTACAGTGAAACAACTTTTTAATGCTTAAAACTAATGACAATATCTAGAATATTAGATATTTAGAAAGCTGTAACCATTATTAAGTCAGCCTCCTTAAAGCACACGTGGCCTTGCTTCAAGGTCCACTTCTGAGGGAACCCCGAGTTTTCGTTTTGTTTTCCTCCATGATCATTCAAACCAGGACTCAAAAGTAGAAATAAAACTAGTAGTCTAACCTGTGTGTGACAGGTGTGTGTGGTTTTTTGAAGCAGGGTTTCTCAGTACCAGAACTGGCTGTCCTAGAACTCGCCGTGTAGAGCAGACCCGCTTCTGCCTCCCGGGGGCTGGGATTAAAGGCGTGCTCCACTAAGTCTGGCCACTCCGACTTTTTGCATAGTTGCTTACATGTTGCAGTTGTCTGTAAATAGAACGTATTTGAGATTATACTACTCGGAATTTTTTAAATCCTAAAAATACATTCCAAAGATGATAAAATTTGATTGTTGTATTCCCGATATTTGATCTAAAATGCCTCTTCTGTTTTTTCTTTTTCACCTTTACCTTCATTTTTAATGATCCACCGGCTGACAGTGTCTTTACATCCAAAATGCAAAGCAGACAGATGGGCGTGTCAGGGAGGAGCATGACCAAAAGCACCAGCATCAGTGGAGACATGTGCTCGCTGGAGAAGAATGATGGCAGCCAGTCCGACACTGCAGTGGGCGCCCTGGGTGCCAGTGGCAAGAAGCGACGCTCTAGCATTGGGGCCAAAATGGTAGCTATCGTTGGTCTCTCACGGAAAAGTCGCAGTGCTTCTCAGCTCAGCCAAACCGGTAGGAATTTTTAATGTTACTCTCGACTTCATATTTAAGTTGTCATTACAATACACGTTTTGTTTTGTTTTTTTCCCATGTCATTTTATCACAGTAATACATGGATGGTGACATTGTCCAGAGGAAAAGGCGAGTTTTATATGAGTTCATCCTTTTGAAAACAACGATGCTTTTTTGCAGCGATCAAACAGCCTGTTTGAAAGTGAACTTTGGCCAGTGTTGAGAAAGTGTCTTTGCTCCTCAGGGAGAAGCCCCTGCTGACTGCTCCGGCTGCCTCCTGGGAGGCAGCTTTGATCTGCTGGCTCTTGCTTTCACCTAGGTTCCTTAGCGTGGAGCTTGCTTGCCACTTTAATTTTCATTCCCAGCAACTTGCAGTGGAGATGACACCTCATATTTTATGTTTTTTGCTGACAACTTAACTTTCTTTTCAGTTTGTAAGAAACATTTACCAGTACTATCCATTTCCTCACTAAGTCTTCATTTCCTTCTTTAAACTTCAAGCACCGGTGTTCTTCAGCTGCTGGGACAGAAGGTTTTCTTTCTGCTGACAGTGAAGATATTCAAGGCTTTGCTACTTTAAAATTTGGTTTCTAATTACATCTGCAAAAATAAATTATATACAACAATCCTACTCTGAAAAGCCACTGTTAGCAATTAAGAAATTTGTGAATCAAAGCAATGTCTTTTTTTTTTTTTTTCAAATAGATGTTGCTAATTAAACATTAAAACCCTGGTATCTTGAAAATAATAGCATATCTTCTACTTAAACAAAGGCATGTAATACGGTGTTCTTTTATAGCAAAACAAATTATAGGGAATGGGATTAAATCTAATTTCTGTTTGGATGCTAGGTTTTTTTTTTTTATTGGAAATCAGAGCATATATGTATAACACAAAATAATTTAAGGTTGTAGTAATTCATGGTCCCCGTTAATCCTGGTTTTGCAAACCATATGTTGTGAAAATTTAGGCCTTGTGTAAAAACATCATATTGAAATAATTATTTGATAATATTCTTTGAATTCTGGTTACAACTTGCTGTATGGATATAGTTTTTATTATTGTAAACTTTTGTTTGCTGTTTTAAAATAGTATTTCTAATTTTTATATAGAAATATAATTTTAATTCACAGATGCACAAATTACCTTTAAATTATTTAAAAACATCTAATACACATAATCAAATGTTGTGTTGATATAACTGATGTTGGAATTTTGTTTGAGAGATGTTTTTGTACTTTTTAGCAACTAAAACTTTATTGAAAATCCTTACTAAAAACTTGCAAACATCTGTAAATGTGAAATTCCTCTAAAATACTCTGTGTTTTGAAAAGAATTAGAAACACTCAAATTACTGAAGAAGAGCAGGTCGCTGGCTATTGAGTTGCATTAGGACAGAAGCAAGGCAATCCGGCTGCTGTAAAAAATGTGTTTATTTTTAATTTCAAAGTGAAAAATAATACTAAAACTTAGATAATATCTGACATTAACCTTTATAATAAATTACACTTAATGAAAATTTTGGCAAATATTGAACACTTATTATTTATCAGATGCACCATTTATTAACTCAAATGTGTAAATACAGTCAGAGACAAATATTTACTATGTTGCCTCCAGAGTCTATGTCAGTGGTCGCACACTACCACACTGAGCACTGGTAGACCTGAGAAAGTAACAAGGGGCTCATATTCGACCCCGGACCCCTCTCCACAGGCGGGTCAGAATAGCTTGAACTTGTATGTGTGGAAATTACCAAAACAGATACCCAAAACATATTCAATAAACACATCTAAGCCCTGACATAAATGTGAGAGTTACAAAGTTTAGACTGTGCTTAAAACTATCCAAGAAAAACACAATAAATAAAAGAGCAGTAAACTAAGACAGTAGTCATTAGGAAATGGAGTTTAAGAGTTGGGTTTAGGAAGGACATTGTAGAGAGGAGACCAATAAAGAATGATCATGAAAAAAGGACAAAAGCTCTTAAATCTGTGTCACAGGAGCTGAAAGTGTACTGTTAAGATGGGAATGAGCTGCTCTTCTCCATGGCCAATGCAATTTTTTACAGTTTTACAAAAGTATCCCACATATATTCCTTACGCAACATTTCTATTTCAAAATTATAGATCTTTTGAGCCCATACACAGATTTTGTAACAGTACTGGCTCGCTGGCCATGTGTAGTGATAGATTTTTATGTGTGACAATGTGCATGCGTGTGTGTGTGTGTGTGTTTAACAAGTCCCCTTTAATTTACCTTCTTTCTTTTTCTAATACCCAGTTGAGTCCGTTAGTACTGCCCTGTGTTCACATGGGGGACTATCCCCTGCCTCATGGGTAATCTACCAGTGGCTACACTCTCCAAAGAAAATAATTTTCTTCTAAGCTAGGGGTGGCTAATGGAGGTGAAATATTTCCCCATCACTGTCTCATCCTGTGATGTCTTATTGTTGCTACTTATACAAAGAATCAAACTCTTAAAAAAGTTGGCCGGGAAGTGGTGGCTCATGCCTACACTTGGGAAGCAGAGGCAGGTGGATTTTTTTAGTTCAAGCCTATCCTGGTCTATAGAGTGAGTTGCAGGACAGCCATGACTACACAGAAAAACCCTGTCTTGAAACAAACCAGACAAACAAAACTCTTAAAAGTTATCGTTAAGGAAACATCCATTATGTCTGTAAATGCAAATTGTCATATTAAGCCTTCCTACACACGCAGGTTATAAGTTACCCATTTGCTTGTGAATTCTTGTGTTATTTTATTTATTTTCCTGTCACAATTTGAGATCGCTTGTTTGACCCAAGATTCTAATCTGTATTTTACATCCATACCTTTATAACATCTGAAAAGGACCTTTTGCCATATTTCAGAGTCCGTGAGATAGTACATAGGCGCCTTTGGGGGATCATTCTGACTACTGCTGATATTGTTAATAGTAAAGGAGGGGTGGAAAGATTAGAGAGAGAATAATAATTGCAGTTTTTAGGTTACTATTTATATTTATTTTAGATACTTTCTTGGCAGCAATGCAAAGAAGAAATAAAAGTTAACTTTCATTTTACATAGATTTTTTTTTTTACTAGAGAACACATTCTGTTACTAAGATTTTGACTTTTCCTAACATAAAATTATGAACAGTATTTACTAGTTATTAAAACAATATTAACAGTAGCAGTAATTTGTTATTTAATTTTTACAACCTGAGGTTTCTCTGTCATCACATCATTTCACACATCAAAAGCTTCATAGGAATCAGATCTGACTCCAAAGTTAGTCCTCTTGGTGTGACTACAGATCATCTGCAAGCTGCATTTGTCATTAGTTCTTTTCAGATCATTAGAGGGAAAATGTTCTTTCAAAATAAAGATTTCTCTGGGTAAGACCTTTAATATAGGTTCTACTTTATTGGTTACAAATTTAAGGTATAAGTAGCCAAAAGGAACTGTTGGTGGGAATAATCAGTAGTTATGTAGTAACTGTAGATAAAGAGGTATATTTCCGCCATAAGACTCCCTACGCTCTCTCCAAGATCTGGCCGTGAATCTCTGCATTTGCTTCGATCCCCTGCTGGGTGGAGTCTTTTAGAGGACATCTGTGGTAGTCCTATTCTCTCTCTTCTACTGCTTCTGGTGTCTATCCTGTTTTCCCTTCTGAATGAGAATTAAACATCTTCCCTAGGATCCTCCTGTGTTTTAGCTTCATTAAGTCTGTAGATTTTAGTATGTTTATCTTCTATTATGTAGCTAATATCCACTTACCGGTGAGTGTATACCATGCATGTCTTTCTGTTTCTGGGTTACCTCACAGACCTGGAGGGGACAGGAACCCCACAAGGAGACCAACAAGGCCAAAAAAGCTGGGCCCAGGGGGCCTTGCAGAGATTGATACATCAACCAAAGACCACACATAGAGAGGATCTAGACTCCTGCCCAGATGTAGCCCATAGACAACTCAGTCTCCATGTGGGTTCCTTAGTAAGAGGAAAAGAGACAGTCTCTGGCATGAACTCAGTTGCCTGCTCCTTGATCACTCCTCCTTGGCTGGGTGACCTAGCCAACCCACAGAGGAAGAGGATCCAGGCAGTCCTGATGGGATCTGATAGGCTAGGGTCAGATAGTAGGGGAGGAGGACTTCCTCTATCATCGGACTAGGGGAGAGGGATAAGCTAGGAAGAGGAAGGGAGGGTGGTACTGGGAGGAGTCAAGGGAAGTCAAAGTCAAGTCAGCTGAGAAATGCATATAAAGAAAAGAAATCTTTTAATTTTATTGGACCAAAATGCTATCTGTGTATCAACAGAAATACAGTTTTGAAATCAAGGCCATTTGAAATAAAATTCCCATACACCTTAGTGGAAGCTGCTATGTGCCTTTTATTCTTCTGATTCCTGCTTTAGTTAACAACTTAGTTAGTTTAGTGAAGGCTTCCAAAGAGACAGGTGCAATTACATGTTGGGAAATTAATAGACTCGTAAACAAATAGCCTAACTCTGAGCAGTAAGGAGGAGAAACTGTAGCTGATTTTTCCAGCATCTAGAAAAGGACTGTTGGCTCATTATCCTCAAGGTCTTGAATTCTGTTTTGCATTGCAGACTTCAGAAAGCAAACACTAACACAGAATCTATCCTATCTGATGCTGTTCTACGTGAACACATCTTTGTAACTTTAATTTCAAGATAGTTTTTTTCTTACTGAAAAAAGTTATTCACAACCTTGAAAAGTTTTAAAACGATTCAGTGAATGATTTTATTGTAAGATAAGTGGAGTTTTTTACTTGAAACTGTTACCTTGAAGGTTGTGATAGGACTCAGTGATTTTTAAGTTTACTACCCAACAGACAATGTGGTATGTACGTACTCAGGTCCTCTTTGTTCGATGTGTGTGTTCCAGTGGGGCAGAATTCTTTAACCAATAATTGTACTTAGCCAAGATTTCAAAGCTTGCCTTGATATAAGTCTCCGTCACCGAAGGTCCTAACCTCATCTGCCCTACCTTCTGTCTA